CCATGCACAGATAGGGAGGGTACATGATCCCTATGTCTCCTGAGGGTGTGCACAGAGGTGAGAGGCACTACCCCTGCACCCCCCAGATGAGCCATGGCTCTGGCCTGCGCCCCACCCTCCCTCGCCTGTGCAGCAACTGCCCCTGCCCCACTCCCTCTCTCACCGCAGGGGCCTCACTCGCCCCATCTCCAACCACCCCCCACCCCAACAGACTTAGCATCTGGATGCTGCTATCTGAGCTGCTGGACTGCGTATCAGCAATCTGATTATCGGCTGATATGACTAAGTAATAATCAGCCCTCAGTATCAGCCCAAAAAATCTTTATTGGCACACCCCTAATTTATTGAGTAATATTAAGAAGTTATGAGTCTTTTTCTCACCTATATGAGCTGCTGAAATTTATTATCCTAATTAGACTGCAGTTGTGCTATTGAGAAATGGGATTATAGTATTGTCTGGGTTGTTGATGGCCAACTGTTGTCACAATCCCTTTCAGTAAAGGCTGAGGGCCACAGAAAAATAAATAGTGGAGAAAATGCAAGAAAAAAATCCTACTCAATCATGATACATAATTTTACTTTGTCAGAAGTTGTATCAAAATCTGAAGATGATGATATGATCCATCACTTACCATTCTAATAAGTCTGCAGACTTTCTGCAACTGATTGATCATCATTGGTGCCATCTATTCTTTACAGAGATGCAGAATATATTGATACCAAGTACTGTCCCTCCCTGCCATTTTGTGTACAGTTTACACTGAAATAAAATGCATACCTAGTTTCAGTTTTTGCTCCTTAGCCTAAAAGCTTGTCTTTCTTGGTAGAAAGCAATCGAACTGAATCCCAAAGATGCTACTTCAGTTCACCTTATGGGCATTTGGTAAGAGATTACTTCTTTTGAACAGTTTTCTTTTGTAGTGACAAAGTAAAAGCTTCTAGCTATTGTAGGTGAAATATAAAATAGTTGAGCAATGACTTGCAAAAATCTTTAAAATAGCTCAGTGGCTCAGCTATCCTAGATTACCCTTTTTAAAATTGTTCTAAGTAACATTTCAAAGTGTCCTATCATTTTAGTTTCAGAAATAAAAACTAGCTGTTTAGTGACTTTCTTTCTTCATTCGCAGCACCTTGCATTATTGAAAAGTGACAGACAGATTTAAATTTACTTTTAGGGCATGCCCCAGGAGTTGTGGAGCTTTATTTTATAGACCTGAGTGTCTACCTCAAGGGATTTGGGGACCTCTAGTGTCAGACCTCTAGTGCTTTTCATCATTGACTTTTTAATGCGGCCAAAATTTAACCACATAATTTAAATGTAGGCTGGAATTAAGGAGAGTGTAAAGACTGGTGTGGAGCAAATGGTAGATCTGTACAAATATTTTCACTTTTCCTATCAAAGCATGCTATGGTTTTTAAAAAGTCCCTGAAATTGTCTATTTTAGTATTAACATAACTCTGAAAAATGGACCGGTGACATTCTGCTGGGGTTTAACTGTCATTTTATCTCATTTGGGTGCCAGGTCTCTTCTACACCAGCATCAACTCAGCCCTCCCCAAAAAGTCATTTTGCATATGCTGTAGCAAGGAATTTAACGCATTGTTTTCTTAGCATGGTTATCTAGTAAGTTTGGATTCAAACCTGTTTCTGGACTATGTTTTAGACTTCATCAGTAATGCTCATGTGTAATACTCATGTGTAGTGCTTTACATGTTTAAAACACTTTACAATCATTAATCGTTAAAGCATCCCTCTTAGCTATTACTTGCATAGTTTTGCATGTATGGTAAAACTCAGGGAGAGAATAGAAGGGACTAGAGCTGTACAAAGCTTTGGTTACTGATTTGATTTGGAGGAGATTCGGCCCGATTCAGTGACCAAATCTCTGAATCAAATCAGGAGACCCATTAATTTCTCTGAATCGAATCAGAAGCCTCCAGTTCAATTCACAGAGATTTGACAATTCAGCCATATAAAGCTGTGTCTGTTTTTTCTGTGTACCTTGAGGTACCAGGTACAGCTCATGAACACTGAGATTGTTGGGTGGATGGAGTGTCCCACAGGAGCCGGGGGGGGGGTCTCCTGCGTGCTCGGCAGTGGACCAGAAGTACTTCCGTGTCCACCATGGAGCATGTGGGGAACCCTCCCCCCCACCCCCAGCTCGGCAACTGGTGCCTCCTGGGTCTGGGGTGGGGCACCCAGAGTCCTCTGCAGTGGACCCAGAAATGGACTGGAAGTACTCCTGGTCCACTTCCAGGTCCTCCGCCAAGCATGTGGGGTAATCCTCTGTGCTCCCATGGCGGGGATGCTCCCGTCGCCTTACCATTTCGGCATTCACGAGCTGCACCTGGTACCTCAAGGTATGTAGAGAAAACATATTAAGCTTTTTTTTGGCTGAATTGCTGATTCTTTGAATCAGAATCAAATCTTCAGATTCGGCCAAATCGAATCGGGACACTGATCCGAATCAGCGAATTGAATCGCTGTCCCTTGAATCAATCCAAATCCGATACTGCCCACTTTTCACACCCTTAGAAGGGACTTCCCTAGAGGGTGGAACGGGGAGTAGAACTTGCAAGGTTGACTTCCAGGTCTGTTTTTATTCCTTTTATCTAGTATGATGTAGGTTTTCAAAGAGTGCATTGGTGGAGTGGAGGTGGGGGTTTTTTTCCTGAGAGGGGCAAATTTAATACTGAAGTGGCATGTCCTATGATTAAGTGCACAGGGTTATCACAAAAATATAAGAACATGCAAATGGATAGAGTGACTAGATACATCTGTGTGGTACAAGTAAGGTGCCTGCATTCGGTTGAAACAACAGTGATTTTTTTTTTTTTTTCTATCAGTCAAATTGAGCTGTATGTGTTACAGCTGCTTTAGGTCTGGACCTTAGATGTTGTTTATGCCAGGCAGTAGCAATTCCCAACAACAGACATGCAAAATTTAGCAAAGTGATTGTCTTTTGCAAGAATTATTAGTTATTTTAACAATTCACTCAGATTGGGTACAGTAGAATCCAGATTCTTCTCATTTTAGGTTTTTAAGCCCACACCAAAGATGAGTGTTTGCACTGTATTCAAGGGTAATCTATAGCCACAGCAAAAGCTATGTGGGGCCTTAAAGGTGTCCCAGCTATTTGCTGCAGCTTCTTTGAAGGGTAGCATTTCTCTGTTCAGATGTGCAGGACTAGTGCTGTGCTCCAGTTGAGTTGAGAAATGGTGTTCTTTGAAGTAAGTCAGAGCAAGCAGCTGAGTGGCAGGTTTTTAATTTGGCAACCTGCTGCAAAATAAGTGAGTTGCAAATCATCCCTATGTGAAAAATCTAGGTTTTACTATAATCTCATTTCAGCTGCTCGGTCGCTGTACATTCTTAAAGATAACAAATTCTCTGAGATTTAAGGATCTTCTTGCACTCCAGAAAATTGTGAAACCAAAACAAATGAAAAGTATATAAAACTGTCTGCTTCTATTGCAGGTGTTACTCTTTTGCTGACATGCCATGGTACCAAAGCAAAATAGCTGCAGTGCTATTTGCTACACCACCAAGCTCCACCTATGAAGAGGTACCACAAACAAATATATATTTTTTTTACATAGGCTTTTCTTACCAAAAATAAGGTGCCACTAATAATAGCAATACTTGCACTAATAAAACTCGCATCACAGAGCCTGTCCCATTCCTGATGCTGCTCCTCTCCTGTCTGTGGCCTTATCCTAGCTGGGGTTGGGACAGAGCCCTAGTATGTGATAGGTGTACTGGGGATCCTGGGCTAAGCAGTGGCAGCCTGAGAAACCCAAACAGTAAGTGGTAGCTTTGTGGCTGATAGGACCAGGTGTCAGAACCTGAAGGACCCCAGAGCAAGTGGAATACAAGGGGTTCCTCTCAATTCTGCTGTCCTGGCTGGGGCTCGGCTCTTTCTGCAGATGTTCCTACTCCCAGCACTGCGCAGAGCCAAGCATTAGCCCAACCGTAATGGTGCTGGGAGAGAGACAAAAGTGGGTGCCATTTGCAGCTTTGGGCACAGTTGAAAGGAGCTGGGGAGGCAACAACAGGCTAATTGGAAGCAGAAGCTTAACAGTGGGTTGGGGCTTAGGAGGTGGTGGGGAGCAGCAGAGGGCTTGGGCCTAGGGAGGGGAAGTGTGGGCTGGGTTGGGCAGGGCTGCACAGGGTATATCGGGCAGCAGGTGCTGGGCGGGAGCCACACAATGGGGGCTGCACTAGAGATATTGTGCAGTAGGGGGAGTTGGGAGCAGTAGCTCCACAAGTGCAGCTAGTCACTGCCGAGCCCACTTTGGGTACCAGTACTCCCTCCAATCGCTGGGGTAGGCAGATGGGAGTGGTAGCCATATTGCTGGGGCTCTGGCTTGGAAGCCAGCAGCTGCCTCTGCTAGCTTGGCAAGTGTGTCTAGTGCCATTGGGCATCCTGGCCTGAGCTGCCCTCTGCACCTGAGCTGGACCAAGGGACCTGCCACAGGCTGGATAGAATGTCTCAGTGGGCTGGCCATGTTTTGCCCACCCCTGCTCTAGTGTTATGTGTCCACATTGATTACTGTCTTGGATCCTCCAGGTTGGAGTACAGGAGGGGGATAGTGTAGTAATATAGTGAAGCAATGTTTTACATTCGCTAACTTAATGATCACTTATAATTCTGTAGACTAATTTCAGTAGTACTTTGTGTTCCACATTAACCAATTTGCTGTGTGTTGATATTTTATAATTTAAAATTATAATTACAATAAAACAGTTCTAGGACAGTTAATAGAACATGATATTTTTGGAAAGAACTTTAGAAGATTTTGCAACAGATATTTAAGATTCTGAATTTATATTTATAGATGAAAGATCAGGAGAAATACATACAAGAAAAAAACAGAAATATCCTAAGCAAATGATACAGTTCTTTCTTTAAAAAACAAACAAAAACTAACAAATTCCAAGCTTTGCCCTGGATAAATTTTTTTTTAATGCATAATTTTGCAATTGATTAATATAGATATAGATATCTGAATATCTATAGATATAGCTCTATATCTGTATCTCACAATGCGCTGTTCAGGTGACAATATATAACATTATCCTTTGATTTAAAAAACATGGCTTTCTTAAAAAATTGAGTGTTGTCACAAGTAAACTGACTTCTGGATTTAAACTCGTGTTTCTAACCATGAGCTCTCGTTTTGTTTTGTGTTGTTTTTCCAGGCCCTTCACTACTTTCAGATGGCTGAAAAAGGTAGCTCTTGTAGGGTATCTTGTCTGTAATATGACTCTACACCATTTATCAGAAGCATGCAAGCACAGGGTTTAAATGCATTGTAACATGTTGACTCCTGATATGTACTCCCAAGACTTTTGCATTAGTCAGTCGGTTAGACCTAAGTTTAGAATCCCCAGTTTATGGAGTGGTGCAGCATTGTTTTCTTCAGGGGTAGCTAACCCATAGCATGTGTGCCACAAGTGGTATAGGCAGCTTCTGTGTGCGCTGTGGTAGATATGGGAGGGAGCAGAAAGTAGAGCAGCACATAGGGCTGGGAGCAGAATGCAGAACAACTGATCAGGGAGGAGAAGGGGGTTGGAGTGCCACTAAGTACAGAGGTGGGGCTTACCTTGTGGCACACCTGCCAAAAAGGTTGGCTGTCATTGTTTTACTTGCTAGTCTTCAGCTTAATTACTTATTTCTAAAAAGGCATCATAATGTGGCATTGCTGTATATCATTTGTAGGAGAGCAGTGTTGCTAAGCACTTTCTGGCATTTCTAGTGTGGGCAGCCTTTGGAGAAGAAAAAGGCAGAGTCAGTTCAAAGACCACTTGCCCAGTACTCATATGTAGAACTGGTAATTTTTTTGAAAGAGACCAATTGGAGAGAATTCCTGCAGAAAGTCTTAACTCTCCATTTCTATGAACTGAATTAGGAGGCGCATAGTCTAACCAGAATCAGTATGAGAATTCTTGTTTAAGGCAGCAGTTCTCAAGTAGGGTGTTGCAAGATCCTTTTAAGGGCGCCACATAATATTGGCACTGTAAGTAGTGCAAACACCTATGCATGATTTGCAAGATAAATCCAGAAATTTCAAAGATGAACCCATCATGTCAGAAACATTCGGACATGTTGTGGTTTTTCTGAGTTATTTGCAACAGAGGAATTGCTCCATTAGACTGGTTTTCAACCAAGGGTCTTGAGATTCTCTCAAGGGTGCCTTACAGCGTTATCACTGTTAAGTATGCAAACCTGATTCACAAGATAAACCCAGAGATTTCAAATAGGAATCCATAGTTTTAAAAAATATTCTTACCTGTTTGGGCCTTTCCAAGTTATTTGCAGTTTTAAAACTACTGTTACTTTTTTGTAGTTAAAAAACAAGTAAAAACTAAGCTGACACGTTTGGGGGGGTGGCTTCAGTCTGAGAGTTTGAGAACCACTGTTTTGGTTTTTTTGGGGGGGGTTTGTAGTTAGAAAAGTTATGGAGGATACCCTGCAGCACTTTTAAAAGGATCTCATAACAGCCCAGTTAAGAGCTGGGATTTTCTGAGGGGTGCCTTGGTTCTAAAAATGTTTGGAACTGCTCATTTTAAGGCATTAGCTCAAAGGTGTGTAATATAAATAAAACTGGGAGCACACTGTCCCCTGGACAAAAAGACAGTCACATTGTTTTCTCCTTACCCTTACATGAAGAGACAGTGGCTGGGACCTGAGAGGGAATGTATTGCTCTTTTAAATCCATACTAGCTGATGTTGAATGTTAGTATGCCCACCTGTAGCTTCGTTCTGTCAAGGCTGCTTTGGAAAAAAACCCATTCAGCTGCAAGATTTGTAGGAGAATAGAACACTATTCTCCTATCTGTTCAA